CTGCTGCGGTCCTAGCTCCGACGCCGCCGTCTCTCCCGGAGGTAAGTACTCCCGCCTGGGGCTCTGTCTCGGGGTTGTATCCGTCCCGCAACCCTTCCTGCCCTTAGCCTGTGCCCATGATGGTGGCACGCCGCCGTCACAATGGGGAACCTTTTTTGAAAGCTTTTTGAAAACCCAGATATATTATGTCAACTGGAAGCCCTTTGTCCATCTGCTTACTTAACACGCTCAAAAAACTCCCAGCAGATTGTGTGGGGCAGGATTTCCTTTTACGAAAGCCATGTTGACTTTTCCCTGGCAGCTTGTATTTGTCCATGTGACTGCTGATTTTTATTCTTCATAGATTCTGTCAAATAGTAATGCAAGTGAGACACTGGTTGGTAGTTCCCAAACTCACCTCTGGAGCCCTCTTTGAAGATGGGTGTTAAGTTGGCAACCTGCCCGTCCTCTGGCACAGAGGCTGTTTGCAACCATAGGTTAAATAAAGGTTATCTAACTATTCCAACAGGTCTGCAGTTCACCTTTTGAGTTCTTATTTAATCTATTGATTTGTTCTAAAATTTATTCTGTTGTCAATTTAATGTGCTTCAGCTCTTCAGACCAATCTACTAGGAAGATTTGAGAATCCTCCCCTTCTTCCCTCCAATATTTTCAGTAAAAACTCATGCAAATAATTTATTCAGCTTCTGTAGTATAGCCTTATCATCCCTGGGGGGCACTTTTTACACGCTAGAAGCTCCTCAGATTATTTTTGGCCTGTCTAATTTTACTTTTACATTTGACCTTTCAAAGTTTGTGAGCTTTCCCGTTTTCCTCATTTGGGCATACCTGCCTCTTTTTTGAAGGATGCCTTTTTGCCTCAGATGGCCTCCTAACTCTGCTGTTAAACCATTCAGGGATTTAATTGGACTGCGTGGTACCTCTTTTGATGTATAGCATACACTTTTTTCCTGAGCCTCTAGTACAGATTTTTTTTTTTAGACAGCTTCCAGGTTGTCGACAGGTGTTTTACATTTTTAACTGCTCCATTTAACTTCTTTCCATCTTTCTCATTTTTGTGTAAGTTCCCTTCCTACAGTTTCAGGGTTCTTTTTAAATGTGAGACTTAAAATATTTTAAGTTATTTTAGAATGAAAAAACAAATGTACTTTCTATTTATAATTCCTCTCCACAGCTCAAATCTGAGTAAGAGATAACATCCAAAATAGTTTGAAGCCCTCTCATTGTGGTGTAGCCACTTGCAGCTCTATAAGGCTGAGGGTGAGATTTGAGTGCAAGGGAGAGTTTCAGCCTTCGTTATGTATGCAAAGTGCAGGGCAAACCCCTCTCTACAATGACAGTACTTTCTCTTGGACTATAGAGAGAAGTATTTTATCAATATGTATATCAGTTGAAGTGGGTCCTTTAGGAAATTCTAGCATTTGGTGTCAGACTGTTTTGTGTTGGGTCTTGAATAATAGCCATCCCATAGGACTTAGTTATTCATCCTCTGTGTTGGGTCACTTCTTTGAAAAATTTCTTACGAAATTAAAGGTCACTTTCAGGTTTTCATGAAAATGCAAGAGCCTCTCCTTCAGACTAAAGAATAAGGTTTTACAACAGAGTGCTACAGAAAACTACACTCTTAAAATGGCTGCTGTCACTGGTTTGCAGTGGAATTGAAGTCACAGACTGCTCTCTGCTGGTCATTTCGGAGAAGAGCATCTATATTCCATGGTCTTGAGCAGTGGTGTTAACCTTCTAGCCCGATGGGGCCTGTCCATGATGAGAGTCCATAGGTCCGATCCAGTCCAGCATGGTGTCAGTCCGTGGGTGCAGTCTGATGCACCAGCCCAGCACTGGAGGCTGTAGCAATTAATACTGCCACTGTTCCCCTGCTGCCAAATTTCTGGAAATGTGGGGAGCCCCGTGGGCATTTTCAGCCCATGGGCCAGAGGTTGAGCACCACTCACCTTGAGTAACCAGTGTTCTCCATCTCGTGACAATATAGAGATGTTAACTTGTTCTCTCTGTACTTGGGAACAGTGGGAGACATCAGCTGCTGATTTAGGACCTTGTGTCCATTGGGAGTAATAGAGAGAGCAGCTATTTTGTAGGCATTCACAAATTTCTCTAAGGAGGGTATTTGTTTTTTGGGGTTTTTTGTATTAATTTATTTTTGTAGCTAAACTGTCAATTAAGAAAAATAATGGTAGAAAATTAATGTTAATCCCAAATATTTATTAATACTGTTAGGAGGGAGAAATAAAAGCTTGCTAGATTACTCTGAGCCACAAACACTAAAATGCATTCATTAGAAAATGGAGTTAAATTAATTCATAAAAATAGTGGTGATTATTGCTAAGTGCAAGCACGTGCCTGATGCAGCACGTGCTGTCAGTTGTGCAGATGTTCTCGCATGCTTCTGGTCTCAGTCCCACTCTGAGAGGCATGCCTGCCTTCTCTGAGTTTGAGAACTCCTATACCCTGCTGGGTTGGGCTCAGCTTCTCCTGAAGTCTAAATTGTGGCACACCTCCCAAAAAGTATGACCCTTACTAGTTTCAACAGTAAGGCCATGTCTTTGCTACAGAGTTACTGCATAGTGACATCCAGAGCATTAAAATATACCATTTTTGGCTGACAGCTGTCCTGGAAAAAACCACAGTGTAATATCTTGAGATTGCATACATGTTTTGCCTTTTACTACAGTTTTCTGTGGAGAGAAACAGTTATACTGCAAAACTGCTTGTACTGGTATAGCTTGTTTTGCTTGGTGCATGTGTTTGCAGAATAAGCTGTATCCGTAAAAGTCTAGTTTTGCCAGCGTAAGCCAAATCTGCACTTGCAAAACTCTGCTGGTATTGTCTAACAACTTTACCAGAATAAGTAAAAAAAATACTCTTAATGTACTCAGAACAAAGTTGACATTTTTAATGCTACAGCCTGATGAGTGAATTGGCATGTACTAAGAGGAGTGAGTCAGTTCATGCCCTTAGTTGTTGTTTTGGGTGTTGCGAATACAGATGGTCATCACTGCATCAGTTACATTAGCTTTGAAAGTGTAAACCCATCTCAGTAATTATACCAGCCAGAGATTTTTTTTTTTTTTTTAAGTAACTAGATGCTGTGAATTTGAAGAATAGGAAAAGGGTTCAAATCTTACCTACTGCAGCCTACCAGCTGAAATGGAGCCACAATCTGTTGTTAAGCTAGTTAAATAGAATCATTACAAGACAGAGCTGAGGTTGGTTGGATACCTTGTGTATTTTCTTACCTTAATGTGTATTCATTTTTTTTCAAATTTAACCAACACTCATATATGCTCAGTCTTAGCATAATTATATCATAATTTTAACTTCCTCAGAAACGCTTGCAGCTTTTAATTCCATTTGTGAATAGTTTCCCCCACAACACACTCATGCTCCAGTCCCCTTTGGGAATATAGACAGATGAGAGTTTTTGAACAGTGCGCAAATTTGCATTTGAGTGGTAAAAGATGAAGTTTTTGGAGCTTTTTAAGTATATAGGATAGATTTGAGTCTTGTGTCTATGATAGTTATTTTTGGTGCACTGCCTGCATAATGGTATTTTTCAGTGTTGTCATTCCCATTTACTTTAAAAGGGGGAGACTTTTTGTCTCTTTCCTCCCACATGGCAAATTGGAAGTAAAGATGATTTCTTGCCTATTTCTGCAGCCTTTAAAAATAGAATCCCGGTATAATTTATTTAAACTTTGATCTAGCCAAAGCTCTTGCCAAACATTTGAAAGCAGTTAGTGACCTTTGTGTTTACAACAGTTTATGAATAAATATTTTCTCAGTAGCAGTTTCTCTAATCTATAAATGTTCTAATGGTAGGAATGCCAAAAGACTTAACTATTTTTTCCTTTCAATTTGCTGAAGGATTATTGGAAGTGCCCTAAGTGTAGTGAAATGAACCCTCCTCTCCCGCGGCATTGCCACAGATGCTGGGCTCTTCGTGAGGACTGGCTTCCTGATGAAAAGAACTACATATCGGAAAAGAGCGAATTAAAAAGTTCCACTCAGCTTGAACCTGAAGAAGGTTTTGATGTTCCAGACTGTAAGAAGGTGAAGATGGATGAAGGTAAAGAGCCAGATGTTGAAGAAAGTGATGACACTGCAGTACAAGCCTCTGAATCTCAGGAAAGTGAGTACTCTCAGCCATCTACATCTAGCAATATCTTTTGTAGCAGTCAAGAAGACAAAGAGTCACAAGAGAGAGAGGAGAATACAGAATCCAGTCTACCTATTACCAGCATAGAGCCCTGTGTTATATGTCAAAGTAGACCAAAAAATGGCTGCATAGTACATGGCAAGACGGGGCATCTCATGTCATGTTTTACATGTGCACGGAAACTAAAAAAGCGGAATAAGCCCTGTCCTGTCTGCAGGCAGCCAATTGAGATGATTGTGTTAACTTATTTTGGTTAGGAGGATGTTGAACAGAACAAGTGCAGTAAAGCAAAAATGTTGCAAGATTTCATGGACCAAAACCATTACTTTAATAAAGCCACAAACTATTTTTGTATGTTTGAAGACTTATTTTGGAGGTTTGCTTCTGAAATGAATAATATTTGCACTGGATTTATAGCTGAACACACTCTACATTTAATCATTTTGGAGGTTCTCTTAAATGGAAATAAGTTTGTTTCAAGATTTGAGCAAGATTTTCTACCAAGAGTCACATCCCGTATGCAAATAGTAATGACACTTGTGTAAGTGGGTGACATACATGTTGTAAAAACAGAAATTCAAGGCTCATCAGAAGAGACTTCTTGTAGAAATTTGTATTCTTGGAAGTCCTACCTCTGTCTAATCACTATATATAACATTTGTAACGAGATAGGGAAGTAAAAGCAATATATTCTAGTCTATTTCTTAGTGAAGACACAATAGAAGATTAGAACTCCAGAGAAATGACTTTTTGGAAAAATAACAGTTTGACTCATTCATCCTTACAATGTAAATTGATATGGATAGGTAAATTAAGGGGAAGTACTTCTGCTGACTTGAAGTAACTTCAAAAAATGTGAAAATTAGTAAAGCATTTCGAATAGTCATCTGTTTCCGTTAAAAAAAGGAATGGAAAGGAGTGAGTTTGGGATGCGGGGGCCGTTATCTTTACAAAAACAAAACTACATTTTAGTCACTATATAACTTGTGGTTTTGACACCATCTGTGGTTGAAAATAGTACATTTCTTGAGCCTAACTTCAAAGTTAGTTTTTCTAATGAGCATAACTAAAATGCATTCATTAGAGTTCTAATGAGCCTAACTTCAAAGTCAGCCAAGACAAAATAGGAGTTAAGGTTTTAAAGGCATAAGCATTTTTAAAGTCAGTAATTTTCCTGTTGTTTATGCCTATGCTGTAAGGTGGTTGTATTTTTCTTGGCTTATTTCTGATAATTGAAGAATTTTGAGGTACTAGACCAGCCAGTTACTTAGTGAAGTAAGATTTTAAAAACCAATTTGTTATGACATTATAGGGAAAATTGTAATGTGTTTAAAACAATGAGTTACAATGTTTTAACTCTTACAATCTTATTAGTTACATTTTAAAAAAATCAGTTTACTTTATGAAAAAGGGAAAAATAAAACTAACTACACCTTATGAAATGTCTAGGAAGCATTGCATAATTTCTGTAGGATATTTACAAATTGAACTGATTGCATATTTTTGTGCTGAATTCCTAGAGGTAGCAAAAGTGCATTTATATACTAAATAATTTTTATGCAGTGAAGTTATTTGGTTTGCTTTGAATAGCTACTTCTGTATAATATCCTTATTGGGAGTTTCTCCTTTCTATTGCCTGGTGTGGTGCTCCTGAAGAAAGTAAGATTAGAAGAGCAGATTTTGGGGGTCTGTCTAACTTTGAGAGGCAGTGTTCCCATACAGTCCACCGAATAAAGAATGGTGAAAATATAAATGTTTTCGACTTCAGATACTGAGATCCTATGTGATCACAAAGATTGTACTGCTTAATTATACTACAGCTCTCTTAGCTTGGAAGCTCCAAAACTGGTCTAAAAATGCTTGTTTATTATAAATTATTCTTGTATGGGAAGGGGGTGTCACTGTGTAGATTCTATTTAGGTTTTAAAAAAATAGCACCTCTGACTACAGTAGTCATACAGAATCGGTGTAGACCAAGTCCAAGATGTATAGACGACCAGGAAGTGGGCAAGTAGATGACGTAGAAACGAAGAGCTAGAAACTACACAGTAGAATCTTACTGAAGTTGTTGATTTTAATTTGCACATAAAGAATTTTTTCTTGCCTCAGTTTTTAACAGAGACTGAATTACCTAGAATGGCTGTAAGGTTTTTTGTTGCTTATTTTTGCAAAATACAGCTCAGAATGTTTGTCTAGTATGTTTTTGAAGTAGGGACATACTGTGATTCAGTTTTTCCTTGCTACTGTTTATCAGAAAACATGTTGGATATTTTTTCAGTTTTGCTCATTTGTAAATCCTTACTTTTCAGCATTGCAATGCAATTTTTGTCATTGGTTGGAGGCTCTTCATATTGGTTAGTAGTAACCTTTTCCTCCTGAGTTTTGGCAAGAGATGTTTCCCTTCTTAACAACTTTTATTCTTCTGGTCAGAGTGTTTTTAAAACTGATGTTTCTCATTACAGTAAAAGACGTTTACCGGCACCCCCCCGCCAATTCCCCACTCTTGCCAGATATCTAACTGGGGGAGGCCAGCGGCTGGATGCCGAGCAGGAGCAGCACACGGTGGTGGGTGACAGCAGTGGCGTGCAACATCCCGCCTCCCCCCCCCTTGCATCTGGTCAGTCGGCCAGTAATTCCAGTTAGTAGTGTGCCAGTTACTAAAATGCTGGTTCACACAGCTTTTACTATTTTTGATATGTATAGTTCCTTTTGGCTCTCCGACATATTAGTCACCCAAGGAATGAATCATAAATACTCCTACAAGAAAACAGCTTGTTCCCCTTTCTTAGAAATATTTGTGGTGTCTGACGCATGCCTCTTTTTCTCATCTGCATATGTTGAAAAGAGCCCACCAAACTTTAGTGGCATGGAGGAAATGTATTCAGGCCACAACAGCAGTTCCAGACTCATCCTTTTGTAATGGATGAGCATCTTTTGATCTTCATGAAGTGATGTTTTCTGAGGGTTAAAGTATATGTTCAGCCTTCAAGAGCTCTTTAAAAGCACAGCATCTATTTTTTCTATGCTGTGTTAATAAATAAAGGTGATGAAATTTTCAGCAGCTCCTCTAGAGAAAACCAAGAGGTTGGGGGTTGTAGGTAGTACGGGAAGATAAATGCAGAGTTGCATGTAGTTTAAGGGACATGATTAAGCAGCCACATTGACCGTATCAAAAACTGTAATTTTGTATAAAACAATCATGACTTTCCAGCGGCTGAATTTTTTATGGGAATTGGGGTGCACATTTATAATTGATGAAATATGGTAGTTTCTTCTACTTAAGCCTCTGCCCTGGAAAGTGAAAGTAAAGCTGCACCAATGCTGCATGTAGGGTCCTAGCTACTGGTTGTGGACACAGTCTTTCTCTACAGCTCCCTTCCTTCCCCGCCCCACCCCACCCAAGGGGGTTTTCAAGGAAATATTTCTCCACCCTTCATTCTGCCATTCAAAAACAAGGTGCATACTCTGTTCAGGGGTACGTTGTACATGAGAAAATACAGTAGAACTTATTTTTGATTGTCTCCTTGATGCCATCCCAATCCTATGCTTCAGTGTAAGAGTTTTATAGTGGCTGCAGGGGAAGTCACAGGACAAGGCAAAAGGATAAATCCAGTATTCCAAATTTGAAACTTTTTGAAGCCAAAGGTCTCTTTTTCTTATTAATTTCAGTTGGAAACAGTTGCTGTGACATTGCACGTTTATTCTTTACTTCCCTTCTCCTTCACCCTATGGCATTTGAATAACAAAGTTGCAGCTTTATTCTAAAAAAACCCAGCAGGTTTAGCCACTGCGTTGAGTCCCTAATCGACTAGGGACTTTTCTTCAGTAAGGTTTAAAATATAGTCCAGAAAAGTATGTGCTTTACCTAAAAGAAAAAAACCTGTCAGTTGGCACAACAAACCACATTATTTGTTACAGGTGTTCAATCCCATTCTTTTCTCTAGTCTTGTGAATTCTTTCTGAATTCAAAGATTAGAAAGAAAATAGACAGTCCCATTTGGCCAAATTAAAAAAAAAAAAAGAGAGAGAAAAGTAATTACTTTGTTTTAAAGCACAGTTGGGGAAGCCTTCAAAAACATGTCTTAAAACAAGGAGGAAGTCCAAACTAATCCAATCAAATGCACATTGGCATATCTGCATGCAGTTGGCATCAGGGTCAGACTTGCTCAAAAATTTTTTTTCTTAAGTCTGACGCAAGTGTTGAGGACCACAGTCCCAATCCACAAATGTATTTAGATGCCTGATTCCTCTTGAAGTCAACGGGAGTTAAATGCCTAAATACCTTGGTGGAGGTGGGCCCCAAGAGTTCACTGTGAGTTCTGTTCTAGTTTCTATAAAACTGGGTAAATTAAGCGAAATCAAGGCAGGTTGGTGGTAACCAATCTTCAGACCATCTCCTTAATGTTTAAATTATTGGTAGGTAGATTAATGAACTGGGTATAATAGAACAGGAATAGAAAAACAGTGCTAAAGAAACTTCACAGGCTCTGTACTTGCATAACTCTAAAATTCAACACATTTAATGTTGTAATGCACTTGTTCACTTATTATTGCCTCTAAGTGGTCAGGTATGTCTGTTTTATCAGTGCTTGCTAGCTTTAATTTATTATTCACATGGATATAATTTATTGTGTACATAAACCTAAAAGCAGGCTTTTTTATTTGAGATCAAATAGGTTTGCTTTCTGGTTTTTTTTTTTTTTTTTTTTTTTATGGAGCTGAAAATTTATGAGAGTAAATGTATAATACGGAGTGGGCTTGCTTCTTCCATCATCTTTCCTAGGATCCTATGTACTTCATTAACAGAGTTTTCTGTTAATGAAACTGGTAAGTTAAAACTGCAAAATTAGTAAACAAAAAAAATATGTAGGAGCTGGAGTCCTCTGAAAATCCAGCAGGTCCTGACCAGTGCTATTGTAGCAAGAATTCTTCAGCACCCACCCACTTTTCACAGATCCACGACATCCCTGGCTGCAACTGAGAGGTTGAAGACTGGTTGCTTGTGCTTTTCAAATTATATTTCATTCAGTGGAAAACTAACACAAGCTCAAAGGCTGTGGAAGGAAATCTTGTTCGATAATGAGTTCTGCTTGGCTACGAATAAATGACCAGCAGAGCAGGAAAAACCTGGAAGATCTCCCAGCAAAATCTTTAAAACCATAGAACAAGGATCTTGTTCATCCATAGATTTAACTTTGTATTTAACTGCTGCCTGCCTGCCTGAAATTTTACAAAAGGTACAATGCTTTGAAATGTTTCTCTTAAGAGTACCCAAAAAAAGATGGTCTTTGTGTCTTTTCTATTAACGTTTCAAATTGTTCCTGTAGTGTTGCTTAGGCTCAGGATATCACCAG